AGTTAAAACTTGTTCCCTATGGGAGAGCAAAGCTTGTTTTGAAATGGGAATAAACTGCTGAAAATGTGGGAGACCTTGGTGTTATTTGTTGTTAGCAAGTAACAGCTCTAGCTTTTTCCTTCCTAGAATAAAGGTTTAAATACCACTGATTGGTGCTAGCTGGGAGCGCAGCACAGAGAAACTCAGACTTGCTATTGGCTTTGTGGGTATACCATGGGATGAGTGGGGAGAAAACACCTGTGCCTCCAACCTCAGCTTTGCTTTTGGGGTGAAGAAAGGGGAGAGAGCATCTCTCACTCTTTCTCCTGCAAGCAGTGTCTCAGGGCCTAGGTGGGTTGTGGCAGCCGCCAGCATCTGTGCCCCTTTGCCCCTGTTCTGTGTGCAGCCATCCACCCGCCTCTGCATAAAAATACACTGGCTTGTATTTATTTAACAAGGAAATTTTTTCCTTCACTGCGGGGAATAGAAGAAAAAAAGGGCAAATTTTTTTCACTGGGAACAAATCTCATTTTCAAGAGTCCTGACAAAATGAGCCATAAAATTACAATATTTCAAAGTGCTTCGTAATTCTAGTGCGGACGGCTCTTCATCATGGAATCTGAAAGCTCAGAAAATATAAAACTCATTAGATTAAAATAAACCACCTACTGCATGGAAGAAAAGCTTATTTATCAATATCAATTTACTTCTGATTACCCTGTTCTGCAATTTGTTATTTTTGGGAATTATGATTTGTGTATAGCTCATGCCGATATGTGGAGGAAAAAGAAATAAAAATTAACTTTTACCTTTTTCCTTTTGAATCCTACTTTTTGCAAAGACCTGGCTAAGGAGCAGTAATAAGAAGAAAAGGTGAATTTCTAGTGGTGCTTCCATTTGAGGAGCAGAGGCCTGGGAAACTGGGAGCTGCTGTGCCTCTGCAGCCTGCTGTGTTTTGGCGTGAGGGTTGGTGCCACATGATGTGCTTTGCTGAAGCGGATTATGGGGGTGGTTTCTCTGATGCACATTTGGTGATGGCCCCTGTTGGAGCATCCTCCTGGCTGCTCTTCCGAGGGGGCCAATGTGATGGAGGGAGAGAGGGCACGGATGGTGAGCTGGGGGGAAAGGAGTCTTCCAGCTGCTGGCTGGATGCCACAGGTATGGTGGGATCCTGGCAGCATCTCATGGCCTTCCACTCTGCCTATGAAAGAGCAAATGCTGCTGGTGGGCAGCTCTGGTTGATGGGCTCCCCTCTTAGGGGGACATAATTTGTGCTGCATCGCTGAAAAAGGGTTTTTTTGGAAAGGAGCGTAGTTTCCTCACACGGAAGCCATTTGGGAGATGCCTTGATTTACACTTTCATTTCTTCTTTATGCTCCTGGAACAGCTCAGAGCAAACAGAGGCTGGCACTGTAAATTCTGAGGCACAAGTGTTGCGGTGCTGTTTGGGGAGGGGAAGACCAGGTGGGGGAGAGGGGAGAGGGGTTTGCAGAGCGATTAAAGATGCCAGCAGCAGCTCAAATGTGAGAGCCAGCAAGACAGCCACCAGAGAACCCACTGCCGCTGCTCTGATGGAGGCAATTGTATTTTGTATGCATGCAAGCCATTCTCATATACAAGTGCCCCAATAGTGCATTTAAAAATAACCAATACAGGTGCAAAGCCCGGAAGCCAATGCTTAAGCACCCCAAGAGCAGTATGTGGCCTGGGCTCAAGAAGCAAGCATCTCTACTCCAATGTTTTGCAGAGGTGATAGGCTAGAGAGCTCTTGGAACCTTGCTGCCAACTTCACTTGGGTTAACGTGTGCCAAGGACTGGAGCATGCTGTCTGTGCAGCCAAACAGGTGGGACCTTTACCACATTTAGGGATGTAGCAATGTTGCTTAAGCAGGTAAAAAGCCACCTCCCAGGCTTGTACAGGCTGGGGCAAGTGGGCTGAAAAACCTCTGCTTGACCTGAGCTTGCTCCTAAACTTTCAAGCCCTGGACTTCTTTGCAAAGCAGTGTTTCAGCCTCAGTAGAGGCTCCTCCGGTTCCCATCCATCACCATTTAATGCAGTTCTGTCTGCTGCTTCCCGTGCCTTGGGGAGCGGTTGCCAGTGGACTGGGAAATCTCTGGTTTAACATTAGTGCTTTTGCAGCCAGAAGACAACAGTTAAGTTCCCTGAGATGGCTTGCCCAGAGACATTATTATGCTGGAAACTGCACTGAATGTTTCCTACAAAGAGCCTCTTTGAGGCAGAAGGTGCAATTTAATATGCTCTTAGTCACAATTTTTAAGTTCTCCCTGGAGATTTCTCAATCCCATTCCTAAATTTTCAATATTCGAGTGAACCATCTCAGAGAACCAGTGAAGAGCTGCAATATTAATGAAGACAGACAAAATCAAAATGACATTTCAGGCAATTACTTACATAATGAAGTGACTGACTTGGAATATACAATATTTAGATTTATCATGACACTTGAAAGGGGATCTGTCAACTGCCTTTATTTCTACATCATGGAAATTGTTTTCCCACTGCCCTGTTGCTTTTTAAACATGGTCTGTGAAGCTGGAAAATAATGTTTCCGCTCACTTGGGCTGATAGTGGTGCTGGTTTAGAAGAAAGTTAGCATTTTCCTCAGCGGCATTTTGGCACAGCAGAAGACAGGGGAAGAGCTCAGGCTTGGGCTGCCTTGCTCATCGCCATCATATCCATTCTGGCCGCAGCACAGTGAGCTTTGGCTCTGCACCCTGGGCTTGATGCTGGCCTGAGGGGATGCAGGAGCTTGGAACAGTGGTGTTGTCTATGTCTGAAATTTTTTTTCCCTCCCCAAAACCAGTTAAAGCAGAGGAAAACGGTGAGGTTTGGTGGGTTTTGTCATTGGAAGAGTCTGCTCTGCTTTTGGGAAAATCTAAAGATTTAAAGGGCCTCATAGGACCCCTGGCTCCTGGGGAAGAGGTGATTTTAGCTTAGAAACTGGGGTTTTGGATGCTCTGCTGATACTGAATGCTCAAAAGTCAGAAACCTGTTGGGAGGTGGAGGATTGAACTCTCCTGCCCTGTCTGTGTTTTCTGGGGAGATTGGCATGGTACACCTTAAAGTTAAGCAGCGCTGATCCCAAAGGTCTTCTTGGGCTTGTGATGGATTTCCTGAAGATGCACAAAAAAGACCACAGCACCATTTTTCTGGCCTAGGTGCAGACCTTTTCCTCCCAGAGACTCTCCTGTGGCAAAATAGCTGAAGAAATTAGAATTCAGGGCTCTTTATATGGTGACAGAGTTGTTATTAACTGACTTCTCTGATACACCTATCAGTAAAAATGTGTGCAGCTATTGCTTTGAAGCAACTTTAGGAGCATCCACTCATTCCTGCTGGGATGCAGGATTCCTGCAGATGTAAGGAGCACCCCACGGGGTGCCCATGCATATCTTAGGGTGGCAGTGGGATATAGACCCCTTCACCCTTACCTGGAGTCAGAGCTGCAGCCTGTGCCCGGCACAGTGCCAGCTTTAGTGTAACTCTGTGCACTGTCATTGCCTCTAGTGGGTATAGAGCAGGACACTGTAAAGGGCTGAGCTGCTGCTTTTGGGGTTAATGGAGAGTGATGGTGGGTGAAGGTGGCAACCTTGGCTTATGAATGAACTGTCTGAGTGCTCCCCAGGTGGGAATCACACATATCACAGCAGCTTATTTAGGCCTGTTGCTTTAGTGAGCTGTTCTCCAAGTGCTGAGAGTTCTGGGTGAACCAAAACTTGCTGTGTATGTGACCAGTCACAAGTGTAACAAGTCTGTGCTTAGGCTGGTGGATGGAAGATGTGATTTATTACTCATTTCAGCTCTCATGGCTCAGGTCAGCTTTTGATCTCAAGTGGGAGCTGCTTATGCATTCAGCTACGGGTTCATCTCGGTGTTTGCTGTCCAAAAGACTGCCTGTCACGTATGCTCCCTGCCTTTTGTGTCCCTGGGTCTGCTGCTGCATGGAATGTGCTGAGCTGGTAGGAAAATGTTCCTGTGCCCCACACCTTTCACAGCACCTGCAGAAATATGGAGAGCTTCAGAGGCAGGTCACTTAGATGTGCTGTCTGCCTCAGACTCCGTGTGAGCTGCCTGGGGGTTTCTGTTGTGCCTATGTACTGTGTGTAACATACATGATTTATACTTGCCTCTGGGGTGGAGTGTTTTAAAATATCACATGCATTAATTTCCTCATAAAGCGTGACTTTGAGGTTTTGTGAGACTGATTCTGGAAGAGCTTTGCATTTAATGGTCTGAAAACCATGCGAGGATGTAGCCGTGCTAAGCAGCTCTCTGTTACTGTTTTGTTCTGCTGCCTCGCTGTGAGGAGTCATGTACTGTGCTGAATATGAAGCCAGGGAAATTTGAGAGGCAGAGTGGGATGCAGGCACATTTGCAAGCCTGTCTGCTTCCAGTGCCTGTTTTGCAGCTGCCTGGGTGGTTTGAGAGGTTTGAGGGGCTCTGCTTTGTACTCTGAAATCCTGGTGCCTCTTCAGTGATTCTGGGTCAAGCTTCCCATGCAGCCCTGCCAAAACATCTTAAATCCCAGTGCTGATGGCTCACTGCTGTTTTGCTCCTGGGTTGCAGCAGCTCTTTGCTGCCCACAACACCTCACCTGGTGCTTGAGCTGCTTGTCTCAGCTGGGACTGCTTCTGCTCCAGTCCTGACTGAAAGGGCCACTGTGGCTTATCCCATCATAAGATGAGCAAATATGCTTTAGAAAGTGGAAAATAAAAAAGCATATCACCTACGCCAGGTTAATCCTGGTTTCCATTTGGCACTTGCCAAGAGGGTGGTTTGAGCTGCATGAACCAAGGAAAGTGGTTGTGGCAGCACTTCTCGGTGAAACGCCCTTTTAAAAGGCAAGCGTTGACAAAATGTTGATGTCCTGAGTGTCCTCTTGTGGTGCAGGGGCACTAAGATGCAAGCTGGGGCAGGACTACATCCCCAAGTCTGCTCTGGGGAGACAAGGTAATATCCATAAAGCACTGGACTTGACACTGTCTGTCTTCTTTGTCAGGAGCCATGAAGCGTCACCCTGCTGCCAGCAATGTTCTGCTTCTCCTCTTCTTCCTGGAGCTGGTCTCTCTGGGTAAGTCATCTTACTGTCTGCTCAGTGCTGTGCTCTTCTCTCCCCTCCTCTCCCTGCTTGGGTTTCATGTCTGCAAGGTACAAGGGTACTGTTTTATGTGTTTGTGGTTTCCTGATGAATATCTGAAGGCAGAGCAGCATTGTTGCGGTCAAGGGGAGATACGGCTGCTATGGGTAAGCAGATCACCCATCTCTGTCATGTGTGGACCTAGGGGCCTGCACATTGTGCTCCCATGCAGCCACGTTTCTTGCAGTTGGTAAAAGGACACATGCTGCATAAGGTGGTCCTTCCTGGGAGAGACAGGGTGGGACTGGAAAGATGCTTGGAGGAGGAGGATGCACTGGTGGGGCTAGTTGGTCCAGGTTCACAAAGTCAGAGCTGGTGGTAAACCTAGAGATAGATATGTTGATAGGCCATTTTGTATCAGTAAAACCTAAAGGAAATTAGTTGGAGCAGATAAAAAGGGAGGATGAAAACCAGAAGCTTGTTAGCTGTTCAGCAGAGATATTACTGTCAGGGTTCTCCCTGTGCTTTCAGCAGCAAAATTATTACTTGAACTGTGCTTTAATGTATGTTGTATGGGAAATAAGTCCTCTCTGAGCTGCAAAACTTCTGTTCTAATTCTGGCTGGAGGGAAGGGCAGGGCTCTGGGCAGGCAGAGCCTCCATGGTCAGCTTTCCTCCCATTGCCGGGCTCTGCCCCGTGAGCATGATGCTCCTGGTTTTCCCTGGCACACGGGCTTCTGACAGTGGGCCGGGGGGTCCAGCCCAGATGCTGGGTGTAAGCTTGTGGGACAACTGCTCTCTGGTGTAGAAAATGTGCCTCTTGCGCTGGGCTTTGGCGTATCACAGGGTGCGCTGTAAATGCACAGCAAAGCCCCATGAAAATTGGGATTGTTACATGAATGAACTAAAGCCCCTGGGTGCTGGTGGGGGAAGAGGGAGGCCGAAGGATGTGTTCTTGTGTGGCACTTGCTGATAAACAATAGCAAGCATGTGTCCATTTGATAGCACTGTGTCCTTTGGAATAAAGGCAGGTTTTTTCCCCTACTAAAGCCTCAAGATGACTTGCCCAGATTGGCAGCCTGATTAAGCAGTCGAGGGATGACATTAGCTGTGACTGACAAGTGCAGTCAGTCTTCCCTGGGTGTCGTATTGGATCAAGTATAGCCTCACTAGTTAACTGCCCTGCCATTCCACTGAAAGTGGAAAAAATAAGAAGACAACCCAGTAAGTCCTTCACTCCAGTCTGAGCCTCCTAAAATTTGCGCACTGACTCGTCTTCCTGGGATATTGCTTGTGTGACTGGTCCAGTACATCCCATTGAAGTACACTGGGGTGGTGGGTTTTGCTTGCCTGACTGGGGACTTGCTCCTTCATCTCTCCCTGTGCAGTTGGTCACAGCACCCATAGCTGGTGTGTTCATGGTCCTGCTCTGAGTGCCTGGCTGGACACAGTGGGTAGGTGATAGTAAGCTGCAAACCCTTGGAGAAGCAGTGCAGGGAAATGGGGATTTGGAAGCTTGCAGATCAGCAGTGTATCCTAAATCCTGCCCTGCTCGTATCTTGGTTGTCATCTCTCTGAGGAGTGCCTGGCCTTGATAAGCAAGTGCTGGCACAATGCTTGAGCCTGGAATTGGGAGAAGTGTGTGGACACCCTGCCGTATGCTTTGGGGACTGACTGCAGGTGGTGGAATGCCTCTTCCCAGATGGCTTGTGAAGCTCCTGTGTTGTGAAGCAACTAGCGAGGGTAAATGTAGCAATGCAGGCTAAGTGGGCTTGTTGCATTTGGAAGAGGGTTTATTTAGCTCTGGCAGGGCAGTGGAGTCTGCCTGCTTCTACCCAGGTACTGCAGTCACTGGAGATGAGCAAATACCTTCATAATCTCTTAGCTAGAAGGGACTGAGGGATGCTAACCAGAAAAAAGGGTCCATGACTACCATGCTGTTGGATGAGCAGTGGTCAAGGATGCGAATACTGACTCTGAAGGGCAAAGTGGGTAGAGGTTTTACAGGGATAATGTGGAAGAAGATCACCCAGCACATTGAAACGCCATTGATCATGATCCCTCAGAGCCTGTTGGTAGCATGTGAAGAAGGAGTGTAGCGTATGGTGGAAATGATGGTTTTAAGGGGATGGTTTCCATTTGCCATAGCTTGTATCTTTTGACCCACATTTTTGTATCATTCAGATGCTTTCCCTCCATCTCCTCCCAATGTGCACTGCCCTTCTGAATGTTGACAGTCTTGCAGTGGGGTGCCAGCTTTGGTCTTTATCCTGAGATTTGTAGCCCAAAGCAGAGTTCTGCCTCTAGACCCTTGTTCAGCTTTCCCCAGCTCTCAGGTGCCAGTCGCCCTCCTCCCTTAACACATAGTTTCTTTGTGCTCTCAGACTGGTAGTTTGAATGCCTCCCAGCACCTGATGCAGCTGCTGGATTTGGAAGTTGCAACTGATTTTTAGTATACTGGTAATACTAACAAAAGTATTTTGAAATAGAGGGGTTTGCAGAATTGAGTTCCCTGCAGTAAAGCTGGTTGGTGTGTTTTAGCTTCATCTGCCCCCTTCAAAGCCTGCTGGACCTGGCACGGCAGCCAGCTATGAGTGTGCTTCAAAGCCTCCAGAGATGCCATTAGCTCTAAATAACCCATTTTGTTGGGGTCCTTCTCATTTTCTTTCCAGGTACTTAACTCCAGAGGCTGAGATTTAAATGTGCCTTTGGAAGAGCACTGCCTCTAGTGCTTTCTCACTTCTCAGGGCGTTTAACAGACCTGGTGCCTTGGGGAAGAGGGCAGTGATGAAAATACCTGTCTTATTACAGAAGGAGCCTGGGAGGACCCCAGGCTGCTCCCCTATCCTGTGCCCATGTTACCCCAAGGGTGTTTCCTGTGAGTGCTGAGCAGGTTTGTGAGGGAGCAAAGCTGGGACCTGTGCTCAACAGGTGTCAGAAACATGTTCTTCCATTGGGACCTTGGGCAGGCAAAAAGGGTTCTGAAACTTGGTCTGGTTCTTGTTTCTTAAGGTGGGATGCTGAAGAGCAGGGCAGGAGGGTGGTGGCAAACTGTAGTGTCATCAGCAGGGAAACCTAGACAGCTGATCTCATCTGGGGGTTGCTGTGCCTTTGCCTCAAGTGGTGCCTTCCTGGTTGTAGCACAGCTGGGGTAAGGGTGGAGGTGTTCCTCTATAACCGGGGTGCTGATAAGAGCCTGGATGGATTTGCTACTGCTGTGGTGGGGGTTTGTGAGAGAGTGTCACCCTGCCGCTCTGCTGGCAATTGTTTTTATACTTGCATGATTTGGGGTTTTGGCTCTGCTCACACCAAAGGCGGTTACAGCGGGGAAGTGCTGCCCCATTGCTTCCAGCCAGTCTCTTTGCCATGGGCTGTGCTTGGGACCCTGATCCTCCCTCTTCCCCTCCTGGGACTCCCCATCAGTGGGCATGAGCTGTTTTGGCTGGACCAGTTTAAACCTCTGCTTCCCCATGCATGGCCCTGGTTTTGGTGCCTAGCAGCTGAAATGCATTTCTTAAAGCCTGCAGGCTTGGCCAGCTCTGGCTGTGTATCAAGGAAAACAAATTCTTCGGGCACAGCCTGCTCAGCACCAAACCTTTTTGGAAAATCGTTTTGTCTCTCTCCCACCACTCTTTTTCCTACATCCTTCTAATGGTAAATCTTTCCTGGTTGACTTTTTTCCCCTGTTCAGGCTGCAGTTGTCATTCTCCTACGTGCTCTGCACTTAACTCTGTTACCTAATGAGGCTGAGGTGGAGGGTGCTGCGGTCCGGGGGCAGGCTCATGAGCTTCCAGCTCTGTAAAAGAGGAAGTAGAAAGAAGTGAGCCTGGTTATTAAAGGTGAAAGGAGGCAATTAGAGGGAAAGGTGATTGGGTGATGAGAGGCACACTGGGTTTTGCAGGGATGGCTGACAAGGCGAAAGGCTCTCAACCGTGGGAATGAAGCAAAGGTATTAATCATGCTCTAAAACAATAATTGATGTTCCTGGTCCCCAAGCTGTTTGCTTCCCACTTCCCCTCTACTTCCACCCTGCAAAAGAAATACTAAAAACACAAAGGCTGGCAGAGGGAAGTGGCTCCCCAGCCAGCTTCCACAGGGGACCACACGGTGGTTTCTGTCCTCTTAGCCCTCATCTCACAGCTACTCCTCGCCATCATGATGCCAAGTGACATGTATATCTCTCTGTGCACTGAGCCTCTCCCAGCCATGCTGGCCTGTGCATGACATGGCAGGGAAATAACGCCTTGCTTTTGTCCTCTTCCCAGGTTGGGGCAATCGGCTGCCGTACTTCATAAACTACTTCTTTGACACCTACCTGCTGATCAATGAGGATACTCCTGTGGGTAAGTGGGGTGTGCCAATGGAAAGGGGGGTCTGCTGCTGCCAACCCTCTGATGGAAGAACTTTAAAGAAATGCTTTTCTTTTGATTGACAGATGTACATTACTTTATTTAGCTAGGGATCGGTTTTTAGTAAATGCAGAAATCGACCCGGTCATTCTCGGCTTCTTTCCAGGCTCTCAGTCCATTAAACTTGTGGTCTTCAATCAGGGCTTGTGACTGGCTTTTAATGTGGGAGGAATCGATTGGGAGCGGAGGGTGGCTGGGAAGGAGGCTTCGGTGGCCCTTTCTTGCATCTATGCCTCTTTCAACTATGCAGCCTGAACAGCAACCTCCTTTAAAAAGGGCTCTTGCCTTACCAAAGTCGGCACTGGAGCTTTCAAAGGTTGAGGACTCTGGAGAGGTTTCCTCCAGTGATTGATTAGCTCAGTCAGAGCTTCCAGCTATCTCTTCTTTGGGGACCCCTCAGCTGCACCTTTTAAAGCCTGTGATGTCTGAGCAAGTAGGCAGGATGTGGAGTCTTGCTGGTGAGTTTCAGATGGATGGTGTGGAAGCTCCTGGGTGGTAGCTGAGCTCTGCGTGAAGATGCATCCCCAAGAGAAGACTTGCTGGAGCTGCAGCAGTCTGCCTGGGGAGTTCTGCCTTCGTGATGTTCAGGTTTATTTGCAAAGTGCAGTGAGACTGAACGCTGTCGCTCGGGTGCGTTTACTCATGGCAGAAGGCAAACTGCAGACCCTGTAAGGAAAGGAAGGACCTGACCTCACTGTAATTTTTTTGTAATTCCATCCCCCATGGCTTCCATCCACGTTATTTTTCATGGTGTTTCAGAGCCCCCCCCCTTCCTTACAGGTTACTTCACACCTGGTTTCTTTGCTTTGTTCTCAGTACGCTCCCTGCCCCTCACTTGCCAGTATCCCTGCAAACACACTTAGTGCTGGATGTGTCCCAGACAAGTCCCAGGGAAGGAAGCAGCTGTGCAAGAGCAGGAGTGAGAGCTGGTTGGGAGCAGCTTAATGGAAATGTTTCCTCATTGAGTACGTGGTTCTCAAAGTACTTCAGCTTGAAATACCTTATGGGAATTGGACTGAACTCCTATTTTGACAGAAAATGGGGGAAGATTTCTGGCAGTCTGCTTTCCAGTGAGATATTGTGCGAGTAAAATTGTTCTTGGAATTACTTTGGGGGTTGAATTTATTTTTTTTTTAACTTCGTATTACACTGTACAGAAATGAAATTCACTCTTAAGAATATTGGCACCCTGGGATTTTGTTTCCAAATGTGCCAGAGGGAAATGTCAGCCTTGAAAATGTTGGAAAACAGTGTTTCTGTGTTTTCTGCTGTTGGTAGATGCTTTCTGAGTTAGGCTTATTTTTATTTATGTTTTTTTTTAAAGCATAATCTGGGAACACCTTTCATATATTCTGACTGAGGTGTAAGTAGCAGAACAGCACGTGATGCCTCTTTCCTAGGGGGAAAAAAACCCCAGCATCTCCTTTTTGGAGATCTCATAGAAGTGTCCATCACCGTGGCATTGAGTGAACACCCCTTTGCAGCCCTGTCCTCCCCTCACTAAGGCATCCCGGGGGGCAGCCTCACCTAGCACCAAAGCCAGCAGTCCCTGCTTGCTGCCTGCCATGTTGAAAGGAATCTTAAGCAACAATTAAGAGATCATTCCCCCTCTAATCACTTACAAGAGTAAATTAGTCTTGTCAGCAGCCATTAAGACAGAGAGTTCAGTATTCATTAGGCGAGATTGGGCCAAGGGAGCTGCTGGCGCTGCCGCTGGTCCAGGCAGATTAATTTCTCCCAAAACATCATCAATGCCCATCTGTTTCATTTAGGTCTGGGGAGAGCAATTTTCAGGTGGACTGACCCTCTAGTCAGTTATTTCGCCCAGAAGTAATGGAAACACGCACACACACGTGCACACACACAAAGGGAATAGGAGACGTGAGCTCGAGGAAGGCAGAAGCGATTGAAGGGGCTCTGAAAGAAATTGCAGGAGAAGCAGGAGATGCTTGGAGAAGAGGAGGAGGGGTAATGACTGCTTGGGCTGCGGTGGCATGAGAGAGATGGGGAACCTGCAGAGCCCATATCAGCTGACAGTAGCTAGATCACTGTGTGTTTTACTCCGAAAGCGGGAGTACTGGCTGGTTAACAGCCCTTATAAAAAGAGTTTGCAGGAGAAGGTCTGTCTGTCTTTATTGTGCTGCTCACTGCCTTTAGCAAAATCATTCCAAGGGCCATTTCATTTAATCCCAAACCTTTGAGGGCTAGGGGTAAGGGAGAGTGGCACAGATACTGATACCTGGCGAATTGCTGGAGATCTCTGGCAAAGCGTGATGCTCACTGGTGTGCTGGGGAGGTGGCATTGCTGCAGGTGGGAATGGGCAGGCAGTGCTCTGGGTTTGTCTTGATTTGGGTTTCCTGTGCTGCAAAAGGAATGTCTTTTTAGCATAATGTAATGACTGGAGTCTAATTGCCCAGCAAATGGATTTGCTGTATGCAGGACAGGAATGGGAAAATGAAGATAATCCATCATGTCGGGTCTGTAACTAGCCTGATAACCACCTAGCTTGGATTCACCCACTTTCTCTGAAAGTTTTCATGCCTCAATGCCTTGCAAAATGCATGACAAAAGAGGCCATTTAGACGAGTGCAATTCTACTTTCCCTTCATCCTAGTGATAAGTCATAGCATCACTGGAATAACGTTGTCTTTAAAGAGTGGGAAATGCTTTAATCATTGCCCCAGAGCTGATAACATGCACTTGGCTTTGCTATTGCATGTCAGGGGCATGGCTACTTGTGTGGTCTGGGGACAATGCTTCCATTCTAACCACTGGGTCTTGGTCATGCATGCCCCACTTGAAACTACAGGAGGGGATTAAATCTGGAGGGGAAACCCACCAGGATGTAGTTGCAAAGCTTGACAGCTCCCTGGGCAATGTGAGTGTGAGAAGATGCTGGTGAAGCTGGGAAAGGTGCCTGGGAGGCACCTGGCAGGTGGTGAGGCTGGGTTCCCCAAGGGCTCCTGCCAAGGCTGCCTGCTATTTGATTCCTCTAGTTATTTCTGGGCAGGAGAGCGTGCAGCTGAGGCTCTCGGCTCTCTGCCTCACCAGCTTGCTATGATGCTCTCCTGTGAGCAGAACCAGGATGACACCTTCATTGCCTGGTGGGATGCCCTGGCTCCCCCGAAGTTGGCTGCCTCAGCATCTTCTCCTGATTGTTAACCCATGACAGTGTAGGGCTAAGGAGAACCTCTAGCTCAGCAAGTCCTGTGGTCAGGGCTGCTGATGAGTGATACCCAAGTGATGCTGGCTCAGCACTCAGAGCGTGGCTGGGTGCAGGGGTTTTGGGCTTATAGGCCTTGTGTGCTCCCTGACTCAGCAGACCAGTGCCACTGTGATGTGGAGGGATGGGTGGACAGGGGGATACCGAGCTCGGTGCCTGCAAGGAGGTGAGGACATGCACATGACAGGGGGCAGAGGGTAGGTTGAAATCATAAAAGCATGTGTGCAATGTATAGGGCTGTGTTTTCTGCTGAAAGCCCCCTTGTTCTTTCTCTTCAGCATTATGCCTGTCGCAGGAGGCATGGGCTGTGCTCTCCATTCTTTGGGTTCACTGTGCTCAGAAAGCAAGGTGGATGACTGACAAATTTCATGGGGTTCTTCTGCCCCTTTTTTGTTATATGTAGCTTTTGCTGAGCTGGTAAATGCACGGTAAGTAGCTCATGCTTCAGAAACAGGGGTCAGGGAGGGGGCATGCCTCTGTGAGCTTACAAAGAAGCCTATTTGGGGACTTGCAGACGATGACTTCCAAATGCTGTTGCAGGAATTTTGGTTAAATGCAGTAGAAGAGAGGGTGATTGCTGGAGACGCCCAAGTCTCTTGGTGGCATTGACAGAGTCACAAATTCTGTCGGAAAGCACACATATGGAAATAGTCTTGCTTGGGCACTTGGCTGTGCTGTTGGATGTTTGAGTATTGCCGTCTGGCTCTTGGCACTGAATAGGAGAGCTTTGCTGTCCGACAAATTTCTGATGGTGTGGTTTGACTTTCTGCAGTGGGGAACTTGGATTACACTTTCCCAGGGCAAGCTGGAGCCATTCCAGAGCAAGCTATATTAAGCAGACCTTCTTCTTCACTTGTAGAAGGTGGCACAAAGAATTTGGGATGAAAGCTGATGTCACCCCGTGCCTCTCCACCAGGGAAACCCACACCAGCCAAATGGGCTTTGAAACATATGGATATTTCTCTAGCAAGTTTCGAGGGGCAGAGCTAAACCTTACTATTTGGGACATATGTCACCAAAATGAGCTGTAGTGGACATTTCCCATGGAGTTGTGGCTCTTACTATGCCCCCAAGTTGTTGCATCCTAAGAGGGGCTGGGGATAGTGGAGAACCACTGGAGTGTGGTTTTTTTGTTGGCTGGTAGTGATTAAAGTAATCAGGTTGGTGTGTGTCACCTCTTGCTTTTCAGGGCCTCCTGGGGCAGAATGTTATTTTGCAAGAAGACTGGAAGAGGAGCTTGGTATTTAGCAGGCAGTGGCAGGGTGCTCACTGGTAACTGCACATGGTTCTGAGGCAGCATGTCCCTCTGATATTTGTGGATGGCTTGATTTTCTATCCTAGGCGATGAGAAGGCTAGAGGGCTTTTCTTCTCTAGGCAGGGAAGGCTGCCATCCTTTGCATGCTGTATCTCTAGCTTCCAAAGCAGTCATCTCTTCCCCCACAGCCTTTCACTGCAGTGCTCTGGTCCTGGGCAGCCAGATGCTTTGGCACCCGGGTAAGGTCCCTGGGGGTGCAGGGCCATTCAAGCTGCTGCTGAAGATATGGTTATCTTTGTGTGATTGAGCAGGGGCTGCCTCAGCTGAACCCTGCCTGCTTGTTTGATCCCACAGATGTAGGCATCTGCTGGCCACTGCTGTGGCTGGGCTCCTCCGGAATGGCACTTGCCTAATGCATCACTGGAAGGACACAAATAGTGCTGGCTCTGTGATC